TTTAAAGTTGTTTAGATTTTGTGTTTAAATTTAGCAAATAAATCTCCTGTTTTGTTAAGGAAGTTAGGAGGTTATTCCTAGATTTTGTTTCCTCTCGTAACCTATAAATAGTGTCTCTATTCCTCATCTTTGATCAATCAATTTTTTTCGTGTATGTCTCTTTGGTGTCTCTATCCTTAGTTTTTAAGATGGTAAGTTAGCAAGGTCCACGGTAAGCCTGGGGAGTTTTGTGTAAACAATATCAAATGGGGACTTCCCTGTAGATCGGTTCCGCATATGATTATATGCAAATTCAGCTTGCACCAATGTAAGATCCCATTGTTTTGGGTTAGTCCCWCCTAGACATCGTATAAGGTTGCCCAAAGTTCTGTTTGTGACCTCCGTTTGGCCATCTGTCTGAGGGTGGCTAGTGGTGCTAAATCTCAAGCTTGTATCAGATTTCTTACAAAGCGTTTTCCAAAAGTGGCTCAAAAATTTGRCATCCCGATCTGAAACAATCATTTTTGGGATACCATGTAGTCTTACYATCTCCCAAAAGAAGAGATTAGTAATGTAAATAGCATCCGATGTCTTTTTACATGGTAGGAAATGACACATCTTGCTAAATCGATCCACCACTACAAGAACAGAGTCATGTTCTCGTTGTGTTTTAGGGAGACCGAGGATAAAATCCATTGGCAAGTCCTCCCATATTGATTGGGGAATTGGAAGGGGTGTGTAAAGCCCGGTATTTTGGGATTGGCCTTTGGAGGACTGACAGATAATACAGCGGTTGACAAAATTGTTTTCATCCCGTCGTACAGAGTCCAAAAGAATCGTGAGGCCACAAGGTCATAGGTTTTATCACGGCCAAGGTGGCCTGCCAAGCCACGACTATGTAAATCTTTAATCAAGGTTTCCCGTAGGTATGTGTGTGGTATACATAATCGATCTCCTTTAAAGAGAAAGTCGTCAAGGATATGAAAATCATGAGTGATACACTGCTTCCAAATGTCACTGAAATCACTATCATTTTCGTAAGTAGAAGGTAAGTGATCAAAGGCAATAACTTRCCYCGATAAAAGAGTTAASAGGCTGGCTTTTCTACTGAGTGCATCTGCCACTTTATTAGTTGTACCAGCCTTGTGTTTTATTACAAAATCAAATTTCTGCATAAAGGCAATCCAGCGGGCATGTATTCTATTTATCATTTTTTGAGTTTGTAAATATCTAAGGGAGAAGTGATCGGTGAAGAGTATAAACTCCTTGCCAATGAGGTCGTGCTCCCATTGTTTTAAGGCTCTTATCAATGCATAGAGTTCTTGTTCGTAAGTGCACCATTTTTGCCTAGGCGGAGTGAGTTTTTCACTAAAGTACTCAATGGGGTGGCTGTTTTGGGATAATACAGCGCCTATACCTATGCCTGATGCGTCAACGGCTACTTCAAAAGGGTGGGAGAAATCTGGAAGGGCGAGGACACATGTGGAGCTTAGTTTTGCTTTTAGTGTCTCGAAACTATTAGTCTGTTCTTCATACCAAAAGAATTTTCCCTTTTTTAGACAATATGTGAGGGGTGCAGCAATAGAACTAAAGTGATTAATGAATTTCCGATAGAAAGAAGCTAATCCTAAAAAACATTGGATATCCCTAACCGAAGTTGGTATTGGCCATTGTTGGATAGCTAAAACTTTAGGGGGGTCGACAGAAATGCCCAATTTTGTAATATAAAATCCAAGGAAGGCTATTTCAGTTGTCATGACGGAGCATTTAGTTAGATTAATATATAGTTGATGTTCATATAATGTGAAAAAGAGTGTCCTAAGATGTTCTAAATGTTCTACTTCAGATTTACTATATACTAAGATGTCATCAAAGTAAACTACCATAAAATTGTTAAGATAAGGACGAAGTACCTGGTTCATCAAGCGCATAAACGTGCTAGGTGCGTTGGACAATCCAAATGGCATAACAAGCCATTCAAAAAAACCTTCATTCGTTTTGAAGGCTGTTTTCCATTCATCTCCAGGACGTATGCGTATTTGTTGGTATCCACTTTTGAGGTCCACCTTAGAAAATAAGTGAGCACCGCTAAGTTGGTCCAATAGGTCAGATAAACGGGGAATGGGAAATCGGTGTTTGATTGTAATTTTATTGATGGCATGACTGTCCACGCACATTCGCCATGATCCATCTTTTTTGGGAGCTAATAGGACAGGTACAGCACAGGGACTAAGACTAGGTCTAATATGTCCTTTGAGCAACAGATCATGCACTTGATCATGTAAAGAGGAACCAGGATGAAAGTCGATGCAATGCTGAATATCCCGTAGGGTGGTAAGCCCGTAGGGTCTTTAGTGATATCAACAAATTCGTGTAGTAGGTTTTGAATTTTGAAATGGTGAGTGATAGGTGGAGGTGAAGAGGAATCCCCCTTAACCACCAAAGCCCACACCATAGGGTCCCTTTTTGCAAAAAGGACTTGCCATTGATGATGGAGAATAGTTGTTGAGAAACAGTAAATGTATCTTTTTTGGATTTAACATCCATATTGGAAGGGAGAAGAACGATTTTCTTGCCCATCCAAGTAAATTAATAGGTATTGTCATGACCTCTATGTAATGCTTGGAGGTCGAATTGCCATTGGCGTCCTAATAAAATGTGGCAAGCATCCATATCCAATACATCGCAAATAACTTGATCATTGTACTGATTGCCAATGGATAGGGTATGGTGCATACAGATTGTATTTGAATCCTCACCCCCTTTGCGTATCCAAGAAACCTTATAAAGGTTAGGGTGAGGGTCAACCTTGAGATTCAATGYTGTTACCAATCTTTGAGAGACCATATTTTCACATCTGCCACTGTCAATTATAACGTTGCAAATTTTTCCGTTAACAGTGCAACGAGTTCGAAAAAGGGAATGTCTTTGATTAGAAGTCTCCACTTTTGGAGCAAGGAGAACTTTTTGAAGGACACAGTTAATTGGCTCTCCATCACCTATAAGCTCTGTTTCTTGATCTTTTTGATCTTCGTCATCAACCAAGGCCAAGGCCCGTCGTTGAGGACATTCATTGGATAGATGGCCAACCTGCCCACATCGKAAACATTTCCTAAGAGTAGGTCTAGTGTATTGATCATTACCTCGTTTGGTCGTTGTGTCAATAGATTTGGGAGGTGGCAAAGCTTTARTAGCATCATCACCCTTGGTAGTATTCGAGGTTGAAGGACCACCGAGAGGTAAAGGTCTACCTSAATCACCACTGGAAAATTTAGACAGAGTCTGCTTGTCCCAAGGAGTGCGACGAAAGGATGCCTTTGCTTGTTTCTTTTCGATCTTAGCTTCAATCTTGGTGGTCGTAGAGATGACATTCGTGAGTAACCCGATGGGTTGTGTGTCCATTTGATCTTGGATATCCTCACGCAAACCATCAACAAAGCGGGTGATCTTATAGTCCTCTGTTTCGGCTAAATTGGTTCGAGCCCCCACGCGGTGGAATTCCTCAGTGTAGTCAGCAATCAACTTACTASCTTGGCGACATCGTTAATATTGCTGATAGAGTGGCTGCTCAAAGTTGATCGGGAGAAAACGCTCGCGCATTAGGCGCAGCATTCGGGGCCAACTCCGAATTGGTCGTCTGCCAAGGCGGCGGCAGTTGATCTCTAATTGATCCCACCAAGCCGACRCACCAGACTGCAACCGAAAAGCGACGAGCTTGACTTTCTTATCTTCAGGTGTTTTTGTATGGTCAAACAAGTTTTCGACATTCTTAGACCTAGTCCAAGAATGYCTCTACATTCATCTTCCCATTGAACGTAGGTAAGTCAATTTTCATGCGAAAATCAGTACGAATACCGCCCCTGTTTTAGTTCTCATCTCGATTAAAACGGGGATTCGCACGGAAAAATTCCTCTTCCCCACCTGAAGAATTGGAATCTTGGGCCCTTAGCTGGAATTCTTGATCCCTCCTACCATTTCCTTCCATATCCCTCGCACGAACAGGGGTTGGCAATCGGTTTCTTGGTCTTTCTTGAAGTTGTCTTCCCTGATTTGCGTTGCCGTGGTTCCCCAAATCCAGTCGCAACCGTTCTTGTTCAATAGTGATTAGTTCCAGCTGCCTACCAACATTTTYCAGAAGGTCATGGATGTTACACACGTTCTTGCGTACCTCTCCCAACAAATCTTCCACTAACAGCAACCGATTAGTGGTTGTCTTGGGTGATAGGACGCGCTCTGTCGAAGGATCTCCCGCAAGCCCCTTCTCGGAAGCCTCTGTGTTCTTCCCCATTATCAGATCCTCAGTTTCGTTTATAGGGCTCTGATACCAAATTTGGTGTAAACCCATGTGAATGAATACTAGGAATTTCTTATTATTGGATTAGAAGGACAACTTGGCCTTTTATAAGCTGCCAAGCTAACTAACTACCAACTAACTAATCTTAAACAATAAATGGTCTTAGCTGTTTAAAAACCAACGGCTATATTCTAGTAACTAACAGTTACATCACAAACCCCATAGATACATAACAATAAACAGTTAACAACAATGAAAGGTTTGTTGGATATGAAACAGTTAATAACAATAAAAGGTTTGCACATCAGGTACTGCAGCCAGGGCAGTCTATGCTTTTAATGTTTATTCAAAAGCCTGCATGGAATTGGATCTTTTCCAATAGGATTCCACATAAATTTTATTTCATGTCCAGTTGAAATAAGGAGAGGAGGACAACAACATTAAAGAAATGAAATGAGCAAGACTCAGACCTTCTGAATACGATCGAGTGCACCACCGGTTATAAAAGTCTCATTCCCGTCATTATCAATTGTAACCGCTGAAAGTTTTTCTAAACTTATACCAGCTGCAAATGGATGTCCAGGATTGCTGCAAATGGAAACTAATTGCCATTAAACAAACCAATCTAACACATGAGGTAGAGATCATTTTTACCTTTCAATATCTTCGTATCTGATGTGAACATTTGATATCGAAAGCTTCAAGTTCCCAATTATTGTGCTGATCAGTGATCCTAACCATGAATTATTCTGAGGAAAGATAGAGAAGAAAGAGGAAAGAGCATTAAAGTAATGCAAAACTAAAATATTTCGCATATGATTGTACTAAAAGCATCCATAAAGAGAAAGGAAAACACGAATTTTGAAGTTCAAGCACTAAAAATATCAAGATGTAAATAAGTAGTGATTCACGTATGGAAACGAATCACCTCATCAAGCATTTTAGGAGAACCTCATGCAAACTAATCACCTTATCAAACCCAAGCACAAATCATCCCATAAAATGAGGAAAGAAGACAAGTTCGATCTGACACCARGCACCCAAATTAAAACATTTCTTTTTTTCTCTTATCTTCAATTTTTTTTTTTTTTGCAAGAAACAAACTCATGGATAATATGAAAAGGAAGAAAAAAATCAAGGATACAAGCTCCCAAAGGAAGAAAAAAAAATGAAGAAAAACAACCAAACATAAAAACCAAAATACAAGGTAAATAGATGAGATCTGGAGCCCAAGAACAGATGCTGAAAAAAATTTCATCAATAACGCTTTCTAATTCAAAAGGAAAGACGGCTGAGAAACCAAAACAATCGTTTAACATAAACTGACCGCAGAAGAAGTAAAGAATCTGAAACCTCCCTCCATCAAGAGAAGACAAGAAAACTAAAAGATCTCAACCCTCAAAAACTGCTGCAAACCGGAACCAACCAAAAACTTGTTGCCCTTGATTAAAGTCTGCCTATTCAGTGATTGGAACTACGGTAATTCTTACATCTTCAAAATATTTTTAAAAACTTTGATGATATTTAGATATTTTTCTCTTATCTTCATTAACACGTTCCTGTCCCATCGTTTGAAGATATTTCCTCGTTTGGACATTAACGAAATAATGTCGAACTATATTGATAGAACCTTCAATTATTTATGTACTGAGGGAAAAACAGAGCCAAGGAGATTTCAAAAGCTCCATATTCTCCAAAACCTCACAAATAGCCAAAATGATTCAAATACGCAACCTCCCTCACACTACGATATTTAACCATATTTACATGGACAAGAAATAAAATTTTTATTGATATATGAAAAAAGGAAAAAAAAATGTTCAAGTATACAAACTGAGGAAGCAGAAAAAAATATACTAAAAAAGCTAAAAATAATAATAATAATAAATAAATAGACAAAACAAAACTCCAAATATTACTAGAGAATAAGACATTAAATAACAAATCTCCTGAGAATTAAAAAAACTACACAACTCCCTTCAAGATGGAAAAAACACCTTTCACCCAAGATTTTTATGTTTTCAAGTAATATACAATGTATTAGAAAGAAGTTAACACCCTATTGTGAAATTCACTTTTTTTTTAACAAGATACGAACTTCTCATTGAAATAATGAAAAGGAACAAATTGTTCAAATGATACAAACTMTCGAAAGAGTGAAAAAGAAAGACAAATGAGAAATAAAAAGGTTAAAAATGATAAATAAAGACACTCCAATTAGGACAAATAAGACTAGGGGAGTAATCTCCAAACAATGTAGATAAAGAACACCACTGAGAAGCTTTGAATTTTGTTGAGTGAAACCAATTGAACGAGGATTTCCTTCTATCTACAAAAGTTCTAGATTCCTTTCAAACCACAACTCATATAACATAGCTTTGGTAGCRTTCAGCCATAGCAAATTAGCTTTGGGAGGCAAAGCAGGCCCAAGAAGAAGTTGAGTAAGAATCTTTACTGCATTCCCATCGAACACCCAAGATAAATTGAACTCTTGGAATAATAAAGACCAACAATTCTGAGCGTAGGGGCAGAAAAAGAACAGATGCAGCAGGTTTTCCCCAAATGATTGGCAGAAAACACAAATGGAAGGTGAAAGGCTGCAATCAGAAAGCTTCTTTTGTAGAACATCCGCTGTGGCTGTATTGAGTTTTCCAAACAAAAAAATCCAAATGGAGAAGCTGACCTTATTTGGACTTTTGGTTTTCCAAATAGCCTGCAACAAGTGTTTTGACATGGTCTCTGGGGACAACCTGCACAATGAGGCTACTGAAAATTCACCAGAGGACTCCAAAGACCAGATTCTTGTATCAGCCTCGTTGTTAAGGACAAATGGTTTTAAGAGGGAGAGTAATGAGATGAATTCCTCTATTTCCACTTCTTTTAACAACCTCTGAGTCTGACTTCTCCAAGAAAGAGTGTTTTTGTCCCAAAAGTCTTCAACGGGCCCATGGGGAGATAAAGATAAATGATAGATATTAGGAAATCTATCCTTCAGAGGCCGATCTTCTATCCATATGTGATTCCAGAAGGATATATGGGAACCAGCACCAATCTTGAAGATTGAATAATGATCTACACCTGAGTCCACTGAAGAGAAATATTAATCCATGGACAGCGAAGACATCCATTTGGTTTTGCATCAGAGAACGAACCAAAATTACTCAGTCCGTATATACTTGAAATCACCTGAACCCACAAAGCATGAGGTTCTCTACCAAAACACCAACCCCATTCAGCAAGGAGGGCTTTATTTTTCCTGGCCAAGCCACCAACTCCTAATTCTCCATTCCATAAAAAAGACCTCATGCTTCTTTCAATTTGTTTACAAACCCCCAAAGGCATTAGAAACAAAGATAAGTAGTAGAGAGGTATACTTGATATCACACTYTTACGTATAGTCAAGCGACCCCCTCGGGATAATTGAAACCTCTTCCAACGGTCCACCTTTTTTTCGATTTTCTCCACAAAAGAACTCCAAAATGCTGCAGATATCGGATTGCCCCCCAATTTTTTACCCAAATGTGCAACTGAAAAGCACTTAAAAGTGTAAAACTAAATATTTACATGTATTTCCTCACCGGCCCTCTAACATACAAACTAACTGGGCCCCACCCATAAACAAAATCAATCGTTCTCACTCACATATCTTTCTCTCCCCTTTCTCCCCTCTTCCTATTATATACTTCCACAACCGGGACCTATCATATATTTCAGGTTTTCTTGTTAAAACTACTTGTCCTGTTACTATAGAATATTGTCTTCTGGATATAATTTTGTATTCCTCATATATTCAATTGAGGATCTCTATTAGAGCAAACGCGAATTACTAATTTCTTTAGCAGGGGGACTCAGTCAAAAGGTTGTTGCAGATATCTTCTGCTAAGAAGCCAAACTGCTTATTCAGCATTTATTGGAGATTTTTCTTATAAGAAACATCATAATATATAAACAAAAAGAGCCACCCCGCCCAAAAGAAAACTACACAGTCAAAGCTTTTTTGGAGATATTTTTTGTAATTCTTAGAATCATTCATTTGCACATTTCATTAATTACATAAGTAACTTGCAATGCAACTTCAAGATATACTATTGAAATACTTAATTCCTTAACCGTCTAAACCATGCACATTGAAATTCATCGTCAATTAGGGGGAAAACTCGATTAAGATTATACATAAGAAAAAACAAAAAAAAATCCTAATACTACTCAAGTAACAACTTAAAGAAACCACCATATAATAGGGATTCCATATGATTGATAGTGTTACAGGTAGACATACCATTTCTGTCTTAGTTCGCTGCATCCTCTCCAATAGCTTGATCTCCATTTCCTGCTCCATGTTAAGAGTGAAGAAATTAGACTTAGACATCAATCTGGTGGTATCAGTATGATTTCTTCACAAACATTTTTCCTTACCCGAATTCGAGTTTTCTTCACCTCTTGGATAGCATCTTCACTACATCCTTGAATTTCGGTTGCAGGCTCAGCTAATAAGAAAATTCGATCCAAGTACACTATAACAGGATCTTGACCAAGTCTGCTCCATGGAACCTGATTTGAGAAACGTGTTTAATGACCAAAAAAAACCTTGGATTATAGAGCCAAAGTTCAAACAACAGGAAAATTACTGTTTCAAGTAGCTAAAAGGTAGATTTAAATTTAACAGTAAATAAAAATTAATTACCTGTTTATGACATAAATATATGTGTCAAGAATCATGTCAAGGGGAACAATCAACTTGTCGYGTAAAAGTTGATATAAAAAATATTAAGTCCAGAACTTCACATAGGGATCTCTTTGTTCGAAAGGAATGCCACTAGTTCAGAGAGGGAGAAACTTGTTTTAGTCATTAGTAATTCGTTCATTTAGGAGTCTTCTAATTCTGTTGTTCAGAAAAGTAGAGTCTACTATTGTTTACATAAAAGGATGTTTACTATTTTTCTCAGAAAAAGAAAATTTATCTTAGAGGGAGAAACTTATGAAGAAGATAAAAAGTAAAGTTCCGCCAAAGATAACACCAAGAAGAAGCTTTGAAAATTGCTTAGTAACATTCAACCCAGGATCTTCTCTTGTCTTCAAAGATTCTCTTATTTGTTTCAAACCAAACTTCTGATGATATGGCTTTAACAGCGTTAATCCAAATAAGTTTGATACGAGGAGGGAACAACAGGCATGCTATCAACTGAAAAACGTTCTTGCTTGCTTCTTATCAAACACCCATTGCACGTTGAAAATCTTGAACAAGGAAAACCAAAAAATTGAGAGAGAGTGACAAGAAAAGGAAAGATGATTCTGAATGCTTTAAAATCAAGAGATTTAGAATAACAAGAGAGGAAGGACAGTGAAGCACTTCTAGCAAGGGGTATATCGCAGGGGAAAAAAGGAAACAAAAGGAGAAGTAGTGTTGGGTAATAGTGAGGAGATCCACATCCAAGGCATTGGCTCATCAGACTTAGGCTTCACAACAACTTTTGAGGAAGTGCTCCTAAAGTGAGATATGTACTACACCTCACTCAAAATTGTATTTCACTAGTTTTAGTACAATAAATGTGGGTTGCAGAAATTTRAACCTCCAACCTCAAGGGAAGACATTATGCCTTTACTACTGAGCTATATTTATGTTCATGTTAGAAACATTTTATTTCACTTGATGCCTTTCGGAGCATTGAAAAATGGATTGTATATTTTCCAAGGCCCCACTATCAGTGGCATAATAGCATTTGCAGTCTGCAATCAGCGAGAACATGACACAAATGGCACAAGCACTTGGGCATTTCAATGAGGGGCTGAGATAAATGCACATGCAAGATCTACTCATGGACTTGAACACCGTAGCTAAATTGAGAACTTGTGAGAAGTGCATTACATTTTGGGCAAATCTACTAGAGTTCCAACGAGGAGTTCACTGCACTAAGGAAAAAGCTTGACTAAGTTTGCTCAAACCTTTGAGGTAAGTGAACATACCAAAGAATTTACCGCTTAAACACCAAAAATAACTTAGCACAAGTTGAAGCTCAACAGGTAGCAAGATATATATGTGGCTTACAGAGCAATCTTCAAGAGAAAATAGACCTATATCCCATCAGCTAGAAAATTGAATCTATTTCGCTCAAAAGGCAGAAAAGGAATTTACTAAGACCACTACGAGGTTCAATTCATTTAAGAAACCAAACTTCAAGTCCAGTAGATCAATCTTAAGAGCCAAAAAGATAACCACAAACCCAAAACTCAGCATTTCACTCGGGACAGCAGTAAAACACTCAAACTGGTCTCTTTAATCTTTAGAAATCAGACATCCAATCAAGTAACAATAAAGAAGACACATTTACCAGTTAGAACATTGGGAAGAATTCTAGATGGATACAAGTTGGTCATCTTTCAAATGAATACCACAACAAATAAAATTGCATTCATCAATAAACATATTACCAAAAGATGCTAATTAGGAAACTTATGGCAGAGCAGAAGATAAAGAAGTAGAGTAGCATTGGAAGGAGCAGATAAAAGAGAACCAACATGCTATACGATCCACCAGTTTCTACTGAACCAAATGTACAATCCAAGGCAATGCCAATGCACTATTGACAAAGGTCTGCAAGTTATTACGGACAAAACTAGGAGTGTCCAAAAAACCCAACAACCCGACAAACCCAACCCAAACCGTAAGAGTTGGTTGGGTTAGATGAAGCCTTGGGTTGGATTGTGATTTTCCCAACCGATCATGTTGGGTCGGGTCTCGGATTCAACCTTAAAAAAAATCTGGTCAACCCAACCCAACCCGAATTTATGCATATATTTGTATTTTTCTTAATTATATATATAATAATATCTTTATCTTCAATGTGTCTATTTAGTGTTAATCCTAGCCTTTCATTTAAGGTTTTCATATTATCTTCTTCCATTTTGTATTTTAATCTCAACCGTCCATTAAATTTTAATCCTAACTCCACGTTGCTGCCATGATAATTAAAAATTAAAAATTTTAAAATAAAAAAAAAAACACACACACACACACACAAGCCAACAACCCAACCCGAAAATATTGTGTCGGGTTGGGTTGACCATCCAATTCAAACCCAACGGTTCCTATATATGGCCAACCCGAAAATTCGGRTTGGTCCAAAAACCCCTCCKAACCCGACCCAACCCGTGAAACTGAAGGAATTGCAAAAATKTACATCCAAAATCATTACTATTCATCTTCCATCTCCTGGAACATTTTCTCACCAACCATCTAACAGCAGGAAGTATCATCAAAAACTCAAATTGAAGATGTTCATTCAACAATATGAAACTTTATTCAGCTTATGATTCTCTTGGATGTTTCCTGCCTTGTTTCAAAAACAGCAAAATCATAGAAGGGGATCCCATGCAAATGTCTTCGGGTGGAGTGGTGCACAGATCAAACAACTTTGAACCAGAAGGGGGGGGGGGAGAGAGAACTTTCTTTACTTTACAGAAATAGTGATGAATTAGTTACTGGCAGTTCTAGAAATGAATCACGGAAATTAAGAAGTCAGAGAGCAACTCTTTTTATACAGATAATCTGAACATAGTCTCTTTATACATTGCTTGACGTGCATTTTCCTGATCATTGAGAGCTTAAATGTCTATGCAATTCAAATATATTGATTCCTTACAAATTTATAGGTTTCAAGTTTATTATTTAGCTTTTCTCCTTTTCTCTAGCTGATAAGTAAGATTGTCAGTCCAAAGCCTTTTCAATCAGAAAATTCTTTTTTAGGGTATTTCAATCATAAAGTTAAGATAAGCATAATTAAACTTGGCAGGGAAATCCTACTGTGACACATGATTATAGATTGAGCAGATGGAAATTTTACAAACCTTAATTTTCACTGATCCAAGAAATCCGGCTYTAACTTTCACTGGCAATTTCAATGCATTGAGGGCCTCTGGCTTCAGCTGCATATTACTTAGCTCAACATCACCTGTGAGACAGTAACAGAAATAACTAGAAAAACTCAAAACCATAATAACTTCAACATATACATACATATACTTAACAAATAGAGCTTGCACACATGATTGACAACGCAATGTCCCCCTAATTATTCCAATTGTATTCAAATTCAGATATTTTAGACATAAGTTACATAACCCCGACTGATAAAAGTTTCCAGCTCGAGAAGAATTTCTTATGCCGTCACCACAGTCCATAACCACAGAGAGGCACTCGTGGCCATGGCCTTGGCCTCTTCGTCCAGCTTCTACAGTTTACATTATAATGGCACTTAATCTTCCAAATCCGACTACTACCCTCCACAAGTTAGTTCTCCTTCCTACTTCACACAATACCAGTTCTCCTCACACGAGCGGGATTCAATGCTTTATATCCTTAGTGGAATGACAGTCAGGTTGAAATTGAAGTGAAATGCGYCTCACTAATTCATAGGTAATATGATTTAGTTYCACATACTATCTTCCTCACAAACTGGAGACCATCCTCTTCTTCGCCACCTTACAAATATTCCGAAGCAACCAAAACAAATAACATTTTCTTTTCTTATTGCACGAAGTATAATAAGCCGTTCAAACTCCTACGACTTCAGATTAAGAACTTAAYATCTCCAAAAAGTTGGCACAGCTTCCAAAACTAAAAACTCATAGAATGGAGACATGAGAAGAAAAAAGAAGACGACGCAGTAATAGTGGAAACAAGGAGTGCAGGAATTGAAATGAATTCAACCTTGCCAGACACTGATCTTCAGAGCCTCCTTGTTGAGTCCTCGGACATAATTTCCAAGGTACCTCTGCAATAAGTACGCCACCTGATCCTCCAACATTGTGCTGACTCCACGATCAGATTCTTATTCACGTCCACCTAAAAATGAAACAGTGAGCATAAGAAGCAGAGGAAGCTGAAACTGGAGAAGAAGAAGAAGAAGAACGAAGAGAAATTCGCCAATTCGATTATCATTCTCGGAGACAGAATGATCCGGTGGAGTCGCAACGTCTACCCTGTGAGTATGTGGAAAAAAAATCTGCCAYGGCCGACATGTCGCACGAATTTCTTCGTGAGATCCCCGCAAGTGAAGCAATCGAATTCTGACAGCGTTTCCAGATCGAAGCCACGTGATCTGCACGTGGTCAATATTTAATAGAAAGGTCAGACCTAATAGCAGGGACGTGGAGGCTGCAGGGAGGGTAGCGTGGTTCTGTTCGCAGGGGATTAATATCCAGATGACTTGATCCTGGAGTCTCCAAACCCCACCTTGAATTAAGCTGGAAATTACGCAATTGCCATAATCGGAGGCGGTGGAGGCTGCAGACGTGGGAAAATCGCCCGCGTCCCTAGAACTGATGCGTGATCGGCACGTGATGGCTTTAAATATGTTAAATTTTKAGTTATTTGGCTATGTRGTCTAGTTATTTTAATTAATTCATTTCCATAGTTATCGTAATCTTATATAATAAATGGTTAAATATATCGTTTAAAATCAAAGCGATCGCGATCGTAACTCAACTATAATTGGCATATATCTCTACACAAAASATTGTGAGTTCGATCCCCAAAAATTTTGCACTAAAAAAATTAACGTTTAAAAAAATTAGTTTTATGAAATTAAATTTTATTGTTAAAAATGTTCCTACGGTTTTTTTTARGGGTAAAATAACRCTTTGTTATATACTACAAAGGTTATATTTGAGATACGACATCTATTAACAATAGTTAARAGTCATGATGATGAAGATATGTCTATGGTGTTTTTTTAGCCAACTAACAAAAATATAAACCAAATAATGYTGGGAATCAATACTCAAMACKCATGAACAAACAATGAAAGTATAGTAATTAAAGTMCTAAAAGAAAAATACTTTARATAGGATTTTTCCTTGATATCCTATTGGAATTGCTTTTTCCATACTCATGAGGAGGTGGAAAGAACAATGAAATAGAAATTAACAGGAATTAGATGAAAAATAGAAATTGGTTATGATATGGTAAATCATTAATTGACATTGTGAAGTTTCTGTAAACCTGCCTTTCTTATAAATATCGTAAAAATGGAGAGAGRAAAACTGATGTTTTTCTAAATTTATAATTTAAAATTGGCTACCGCCTTCACAAGACCAATAAATCTTTTAAATAATAAATAACTATCTATAATCTATAACATCCATAAAAGTATTGATGTGGGATAAACATTTTATSGACCAAACTTTTTTTAATAAGTTTATGTTTATCTCTCCTATCTCATCTCTTTCTAGGTTATCTCTTTTTTAATTCACCTCTCATCCACATTGGTTGTTATATGTGTGCACGTGTGCGTTAAACTRTATAATTCTATAACTCTCCGCTTCTTTATTTTTAAAATTCTTAATTTTTCATTATAAAAACAACCAATTATATTTTTCTGAAACAAAAGGAAAATATTGAATCAAATAAAAATAAGACCATTCAGGGTTATATCAAAAGAGTGGTGACCRCACATCACCATCACAATCCACAAAGGAAAACTATTGTCCTAAAGGATATAGAAACRATTAGAAATGGCACACTTTGCCAATAAAACAGCTTGTCTATTCAAAAAAAGTTAGAAATATGAACAAATGTTAGCCCACTGAACACTTTCTCAAAAGTCATCGASGGAGAATTCTCAATCRATAGAGGTATCTTGTCAATTATGACAACTCTATTYACAATTGGAAGAGAAATAATTGTCTCCAAAGTTGCTTTATCTCCACCATGTCTCTTMTGCTTAGAAATGAAATGTTACTGGAAATTCTTGCTCTCACATTGAACCATTTGTATCTATATGCATTAGGATCCCAATTCATGGATCTCTCGGTTTGAGAAATCAAAATAAGATGATCGAACCATTTCTTATGACCCTTTTTCAAATTTGATAAATGTTGGTTGATCGTATGAGTCCATGACAGGTAAGGAAGAATTAGACAAAATCTCTAAATTATGCTGATCACAAATCTTAATACAATTAAGACGAATAGCCTCCCTATATTAAAAAACGATGTTTGAATCGATTGTCGTTGCATCGTCTCCGTCGTCGCCCACTTGTTGATCCGTCTTCCTTGCCCTTGGACCATGAAAGTTCTCTCAACCAATATGAAATGAAGATGAAGAGTAATTCCAAGCGATTATAGACGGGTGCCCTCTTTAATTATGTGTCTGATAACTCTTCAAAACGCCCAAATGACCATGYCACGAACCAAATATAACAACATTGCCTTTGATTTTATTAGCCACAACAACATGGTCAACATCCAACGAGAAGATCCTCATCACCCGATCATTGTACATCATCACAAAACCAATGAGGAAGAAAGATCCTCCCTGAGAGATCTCTATTATATTTAGATCCATACTACTTACTTATTAAACAAAAAACCACGGAAGAACTGGAACAAAACAGAGAGAAAACACACTTTAAGAAAACTCAGTAAGAAGACAGAGAGAAAACACACACACCTTTCACAAGGAGGAGAAAGAAAAGAGGGAACAGATCGCTGGCCACCACTCTCCACTTTTTTTAAGGGAGGATCGAGCGGGTTTTTTCTATTACACACACAAGAGGATGGAAGTTAAATAACTGATACGTCCATAGTAAAATTTTTAAATAAATCTCGTCRTTTTAATATGAAATATTATTAAAAGATATTTCTTTTTGGGTAAAAGTAATTCTTAATTAAAAAAAGTATTAAATCGTGGCTATAAACTCATACATTCCACATCAATTTTGCATTTTTAAAAAATATTTACTTATTTCTWTTTAATAAAGGACCACTAATATTTTTAATGAATAATAATTTTTAAAATTATTATTATTTTAGGTATCAGTTATCGTTGAATTAAGTCTATATTAACAAATGCCATACTAAAAAAAGTTGATATTGACGAATGACTATAGTATTTAATATAYGCTCAACATTTTAAAAATTMAAATCAACATTAATATATAAAAAAAATAAAATTGCACGTAGGTATTAAAATACTAGTATTTCTAAATACACGAAAACTAACTCGCTTATAAGCCTGTATTGTTTACAACGTAACGGTAAAATGGTAAATGTCAACTTTGCCCAATAATCCAGCCCAATGCATAAGGAAACTCCACAGCCCTTATGGTAAAATCTGGGCCGACAAAACAAAGGCCCCATAAATCTCTGTAAAAGAAAGGCTTATTGGCCCAAAATAGTGTTAGAGGTCCATTTTGTAATAGAGTGTCACTATCCTCGACTGATACACATATAAGAGAAAATAAAATTGACTTGTATTTTATTGAATATAATTTATTGATTATACTCGTAATCATGGTATTAAATATTCATTGACACGTTGACATGTCTATCGACATTTCTATGTATCYATATGTTCGATATCGACATGAGGAATAAATCAACATTTCCATYATATTATAAAAAAATCGACAAAATATGARAATATCAGCAAAATGCCACTAATATATACATAATATTAATATTAATCATTTTAAACTTATTTAGAAATAGAAAAATGTCTGTGTGTTAATTTAATATTTTTTATAATTTTTATAATTTCTCTAACTTTTACATAAATATTAATCGATATCGATATTTCCCATCGATAATTCTACGAAATTGAGATATCGACACTGRCATTTAAAACCTTGTTCATAAGTTATTAAAATAGAAAATATGYCAAACATGAGCATATGTCAATGGATAAGAAATCTTACATTTTCCTTAAAATCGAAAGTTCAATCCTTCCTCCCATATTTGTTGTACTAAAAAATAAAGAAATATAAAATTCCATTTAAAGAATTTCAATAATTGTCCAACAATTATTAACTAAAAATTTCAATAATTGTTGAATATAATTTGATAATTATTGTAATATATTATTAATTATCTGTATTTCAAATAATTGCCCTTTCAAAACATCAMTGAATTGTATAATTCAATTATTGGATTGATTCTTAGTTCTTAAGGCGATTCTAAATATATATCAAGAGGCTAATGGTCAAGGAATCTTTAAATTTGAATAAATCTACATTTTGTGTTTTCTAATGTAGTATTCTCTTACGTAATATTCTTAAGGAAAAAAAAAACAACTCACAYTAAACATCCACGTGTCSTRCTGTAAAATAATAATAATAACATAGCTGCATATTTTTCTAAAGTAAATAAATAATACATACATAAATAGAAACTCATTAACTAAAACAAACTCAAAATCATTACTTTCATTAAAAAAAACATCGGGGAATAACCCATTGGAATATATATCCTTTACCAAAAAGTAAAAAAATTATAATAAAAAATTATTTAAAAAAACAGTCATAATATATATTTTAATTAATAATTTTTCCCTAAATAATCAATTAGTACATCATATTAGAAATCATAATTACATAAAAGGATGGARATGTATTGGATTTACACTTTTCTCRTAAAGCAACCTAATTAAGATGTAGCACACAAATTACTAGTATACCCATTTTGAGGATGCACCTCAATATTAAATAATTTTTAAAATATAGAATCGGTAAATTCAGAAGTTACATAATTTAAATCCCTTTGYTTAATTATACTTTCCAAAATAAAAAAAAAATTACCAAAACCCTAAAAATCTCCAAAATCATYCATTTTCAAAACTCTTTCTACTAACTGTTCTTCTTCCTCCGACTGTCTGTTCTTCTTCTTCGACGATCTCTGCTTGCCTTCCTCTCAGGCTACTTCCGTTTTTCTCYGTCGCCAAAGCATTTCGTCTCCGTTTATCCCATTCGAAATAAGATTTCCATCCGTTCTTCATCTGTTTCCGTTCGTTCTTCTTCTCCGATCGTTTCTGCCTGACTTCGTCTCTGATCGACGTATGTCTGCCTTCCTCTCCATCCGCCTCCATTTTTCTCTGTCGCCAGAGTAGTTCGTCTCCGTTTATCCCAATCGAAAGGTTTGYATTCCAATATATCCTAATATTTTTCTCTTTCAGATTTGAACAATGTTGAAAACCCTATTTTTTTTGTACTGCTAAACCCTTTCAAATGTTCGTTCCATGTCCAAGTAGTCTCCAACGGTTGTTTTCGATTTCTAATTCCATGTGAACTATTGTATATATGGGGATATATATTATAGTGAGTTTGATTATGATATATCTTATAACTCAACTTGTATATATGCCGATATATACTATGATGGTTTAAACATTTGGGATAGTATCCTTTATGCTGGACAATATAATAGGATTTAAATTATATATGGATAAATTTTATATCTCAAAAAGTTTAGTCATAATATTTCACTGTTATGTTATACTTGATATATTTTATATTTAATATGTTATACTTACTATTCTGTCAGAATTCCACTCAAAAAGGGGAGATTAGTGAAGACTTATAAGGAGAATGGTGGGAAATTAAAAGAGGGAACAAAACGATTTGGATATTTTTATAATTAATTATATCGATAAATCAAGAGAATCAATTTTTTTGAAGGAGTGAATTAATTAAAGTTTTGAAGAGATGGATGAATAATTAAGGTTTTGAAAGAATGAATTAAGAGATTAGTGTTGAAAATTTGTATGGAACCACTATAATTAAATGATTGTGATTATAATTTATGGAATTAAATCTTTTATATTAAAAAAATAAATAAATATAATAAATATAAATACAATAAATAAGGATAAAATCGATATTAACATAAAATTCTACCAACAAAAATCTAAATCTAAACGTATAAAATTAGAAAATTTTAGATATTTTTTTAAAATAAATTTATAAAACAATCCTCTAAAGATATTATTAATCTCATTATTAAATCTAAAAAGTATAAAATTAAATTTTAGACATTTTTTTTAAATAAGTTTCTAAAACAACCAACTTATTATTAGTCTCATTATAATTCTTCCAACGTCTCTAATTCGCAAGAAATTTCCAAAACATACAATATAATGGCACAAGACACATTATAACCAAGCAGTCACTCTCAAATTGAAGACGAAATTGATTTCTATTCCCTAAAAAATCAGTTAATTTTTGAAATATAATAAAGTAGACAAATTAATAAAAGCAAACTAAACAAAAGAAGAGTTATCGTCCTCGTCTATAAGAAAAAAGCCAAATTACACGACTTTCTTCACCACCSCTTGATAAAGCTCATATATAATATACAGCCCCAAAATACAGAGAAGAAACAGTTGGACGTGAGCAAATCCCAGTAAAGAAAAAAAGGAACACAAGATTTCCTCACTTAGCCACTACCGCAACCACAACCACAACCTTCATTCACAGTTGCATATTTTTCTTAACAACAATTTAAACCCCCCAAAAACAAAAACAAAACAAAAAGTGGAACTCTCTCTGTTCTTCCCGGTTCTCTTCGATCTTCACATCTCGTTTTCTTTTTCTTTTCCGGGAATATTTTCTATGTATATATAATATATATATGTGTAGATTGCGATTCTTCCTCGATCTAGGCAGCTGCCACCGTGCTGGTGCGGAAACGGCAGTCGTGAGTGGCGGTGGACTTGCCGGGGGAAGCGGATTTTCTTTGATCTTTTTTTCTCATGGCTTTGATGGACGAAGACAGATTCAACTTCTTCTCCTTCGCTTCGTCCGTTTCTATTTGCTTGTGACGACACTCTTCGCTGCAAAATGGAGTGTCTCCTCTGCATAATATGAATCATAATAATATCGTCAGAACCACGGCCGAGTACTTCTTTTTTCTTTTTCTTTTTTCTTTTCAGATCTTGAGATTTTGTTCGTCAAATACTGGAAGGAATTGAAAGATCGATCCTATGTCTAATAGCTTTCTTTTAATAAATTATACAATATCGCTCACTTGATAATTGAATTTTCTCTCGATCCTAGATTTACGAACGGTTTCTCTTTCTGTACTTCGATTTAAAAAGTACCAGACAAAAAGCCGACCTAACTACAAATCCAAACCAACAATTAACTACCAGATGTGTTCTTGCACCGAAAGTAAAATTCATAATTCAGATTTGGAAAGCAACATCACTCTTATTAAGAAATCGTGGAAACAAAAAAAGGAAAAAAGAAAAACAAATTACCTGTACATGAATATGTCTTTGTTATCACCAAGCGGCTTCTTGCAGAGAAAACAAGCTTCCAAGAAATGGTGATAATGATCTTCAAATCTGGCGTCGTAAAACCTCGCAGAAAATCGCGGCGATGAAACCGAGAGGTTCCTCGGAGGCGCACCGCGTCGGTGAGCGCCGCCGTGGGAAGGCTTCGGCCGGAGGAAGAAAGATTGCGCCGGATAGTGGCCGTGCTGGCTCCCAGAAAATCCAGCTTCCACATCCACCAAAGAGACCAACCCGTCGTCTTTGTCGATGAAATAAGGCCTTCTCGCAGTTGCAGAAGAACAATCCATTCTTTCAAATGTGTAGAGCGAGGAAGAGAGAACCCAAAAGAGGAGAGAGAGAGAGAGAGAGTAGAGAGTTGGAATTGGGGAAGACTGGAGCGGAGTTTTATAAAGGGAAAAGTGGAGTGGCGGAGAGAGAGACAGATCCACAACCAACGGCAGGTTTCAGAGTGAATCCATTGGCAGAAAATACCTGAACTAAAAATTCTTTCTGTATTCGCCACCAATGTTTACGGTATTTACGGTCGTTGYCCAATGAAGAATTTTGTAATTTGGAGAAAGATTGAGGGCTAAATAATAACACAAACTAATTCTCCGTAGGGCRAGCACCCACACGTCGCTACCGAACGGGAAAGACTCTCTTTAGCTCCAAGTCCTGACGTCAATACTGTTAGAAGAAGGGGGCAACTCCTCACGCTCCCAAGAGAGAGTGGATCTCACTCCACCTTTTCCCCTTTCTACTCGCCCTTTCTAATTAAGGAAAAATACCATTTCAAAATTATATATTTTTAGTCCTTAATATTTASTTGTCTTTCAATTTGGTCCGTGTTGTTTTAAAAGTCTGAATTTAGGTTTTTTTTTCTTATTTTACCATTTTCAAATTATTCTTTTTACAAAGATAAATATGTTACGGTCAGATATCAAGGCACAACACCCGAAGACAAACACAAGACAAGAAGAAAGTACCATTTTTAAATTATACTCTTACGTTTGTGAGTGTTGTGATAGACGGATGATTAGTTTACATGATCTAGTATTTAATGAGTTATATAAATTTAGAGAAGAAATTAGGTAATTTAATAAAGAAAATTCGAATTAGTCAACTTCTTATAAATTGGACAACATACTTTTTAAAAATTATTTGAGGTGATTTTGTTTATCTTTAAAATTTATTATGTCGGACAAGCTTTTCATCATCTAATTGAGTATGATTATAAAATTTATAATATTAAGGTCTAAACAAAGGAACCTACTAAATTGAAAAAAAGAATTCTCAAACATTAAAAAAACTAACTTCAAACTTCTAATTTAATAGAATTATATTTTAGATTTAAATAAATATTATAATTAATGTCCTTAATTTTTTTTGGACAAATAGTAACGTCCTTAATTACTTAAGTTTCTATTCTTTACTATTTGTTATAGCTGTGAATTTATGGATATTCTTACAGTTGAATGAGATTATATTTTTTAGATATTGATTTTTCTAATAACGTTAAATATTTTTACTATATTTAAACATTTTGTTGTTGAGTTTGACAGTTATTTTACATATTAGAGTCGAACATAAATATTTGTATGACTTAATTCGAGTATTTTAATATTTAAATAGTATGTAATTTAATAATCGGCTTGTGGAAAACAATTCATAATTTACCTTTAAAGGTATTTCTTACACTATTTATTTAATTTTGGTTATTTAATTTGATAAAATTAAGATTTATTTAACTAGGAATGTGGCCGTGTAGCACACGCGCTCAAAGCCGGCAGTAAAACTTTCATCCCAAGTCCCCACATCTCCCCAACAGTACTGGTCGGATACCTCCCTCCGACCCACGGTTTCTACTTTGTTCGCCCAAAGAAAGCTGACGTCAAAAATCCCCCAATTTACTTTTTTTTTATAATAATTCTCAGATTCTTTTGTCGTTTTCCTACTAACTCACGGCCCAGCCCACTTTCCCAAGTCATGGAAAGTGGGACCCGCCCGAACGGTTCTTTTGAAGCGTATAAGAAATTTCTTTTTTTTTTATATTTAATTTACTTTAATGACGAGGGAGCTCTTTTTCCAAGGTTCTTGTCCCCTCTGCCSATGAATCAACGGGCAGAAATGACCAGTGCCATCCCGGTTTTCCTTACACGTGTGGAATTTTGAGGCCCCTCCGTGGCGTCTTGGTGAAGCCAAACATTGCCACGTGCCACGAGTAGACGCCGAGTAAAACCAYGCTCTCCGAGTCGTGGACAGGTAACGGGGACGACAGATCCCGATTATGTAATTTGCCGTCGTTTTCTGTTTTTATTTCCGTCCGATTGGACGATTTATTCATAAACGGCCAGAGTCGTGGAAGCGTGGCTGAGAGGTCGACGAGGAAATTTTATTGGCGGTTTCTTCTACTTTCTACTGAGCTGTAATGGCCAAAAATAATATTTTTAATTAGCTTAATAATCTGTCGAATTATTCCATAATTGAAACATTGTATCTCCAATTAAGGGGTTTTGAATTCGATTCTTCATCCTCACGTACTGTTTCTTGCGATATAAAAATTAGTTTATAAAGGGAGTGATTATCATAAGATTGGAAATATTTTCCTCTCAATTGTCCTTATTTCATTTTGACCAATAAACTATCCATAATAGCTTATCAATATACCGACCAGTCACTATTTAGTTGTACTATTATAAAATATGTGCACTTAATATTAATAATAAAAAGTTGTCAAAATAAATTGGTTATTTAAGACATCTATTAAAATTAAAATATTGTGCGTTTAATTACTCACTCCCGCAAATTGATGTATTAAAAAATATACATCAATTGAATATCATAATTCTACGATATTTGAGAAATAAGCCACGCTTTTTATCAGGTTATTTATCTATTATGATGTACTTAAACTTTTATTTTTTTATTAAATCATTTTTTTTAAAAGACGAGTTATTCGACGGTTAAACGTTAAACCTTTAATCCAAAAAATTGTTTCTTTGAGATGTTGTTTAATTCTAAAGGCACAATCCACTATTTCGAAAGTAATTTATTGTTATTATTTTCTTAAAAGCCACAAGCTTCCCAGGAAAGAAAAAGTTTATAACAAAAATAGAAAGTATTTTTGGCGATGAGCGTTTTCAAGTCCTATTCGACAGCTATTTTATTTTTAATTCAATATCTTCAATAAATCGTGTTTGTTTACCACTTTACCTACAAATGTTCCTTTTTAATATTTTTCTCCCAAATTAAAAAGAAATAAATAGGTGAGAATGATATTTATAAGCTTAATTTAAAAATATTAATAACAAAAAAATTAAATGGTTATCCAACCAAGCTTTAATAATTATATTTTAAAATTTTGACATTGCTTTCTTTTTTCTGCACTGTTGCCTTATAACTTCTCAATGGTGAGATATATAACAAAAACTTTTAAAATTTTGTACTCCAAGACAACAATTTAAAACTCAAATTATTATATATATCTCATATATATTATAAAAGGACAGAATCTTATTTTTCAAAATAATAATAATAAATAACATTAGTCATGTTTGTGAAATCGTAAAATGGACTATTATGATGAAAAATATTTGACTCTTTATCGGTAAGAATTAAATCACGTATTTATTAAAAATTTGATAGTTCGTTAATATTTTAAAAATCTTAACTGTAACGATGGTGAAGGCAAAATTCATCCTCAAATAAACCAAATATTTTCCAATTATTATTGGAAATCACTTTCTGAACTTTTTCTTTTTCCTTTTTCTAAAATAAGAATTGAGAAATGAGAAGTCAGTTTCSGAATTATCAACTTTTGTGGCATGCTCTTAGAAAGTGGGAAGCCCATTCCACTGGTTTTGGGCAAACTGATTGCTCCCATCTTTGAGTTGCTTTCCACTTTATTTCTTTTACTATTTTTATTCCTTCTTTTCTTTTCAATCAATCACGTCACAGTGAGCTTAATTCAGTGTTTTTTTTTTATTTTAATTGTGTTTAAAAGCTATTTTACAAAGCAATATTTTAAATTTTGTTTTTATGCTGTTTCTAGTTTTAAGTATTAGTTAGAGTTATATATATATTTTTTATTCTTTATGTTAATTTAGAAATATAACATGTCTGAATCAGATTACATTTAATTTTAGTACCTACATACTAATAATAAATAAAAATAAAGTGAGTGAAAAACTACACTTCATAACACAAGCTTCATTTGTATTTTAAACAATGTTACCAACTCTTTTTTTTATTTTTTTTTAAATTAGCATAACTTTTTTTTGTTTTTTTTTTTTACAATTATGGGTAACATATCAAATTTATAACTCATAGTTTCATAATTTAAATCRATAAAACTGAAAAGTTATATTTTAAATGGATGACCATTTAACTATTCCAATTCTGAAAATGTAATTTTTTTTTAATTCAGACAACTACTGAGACATGTTTACATCATTTATTTTTTATGGTTAAGAACAGTGGTATCCTCGTAATCCCAAATTATGCAATAGTATGATATTGTTCATTTTGAATATTGTCTTTACGACTTTGCATTTAATAATTTCACCTAAAATACTTCATACAATGGAGATAATTGTCACCACTATATATCATGAATYACCCTCTCCATTAATTAACRTAGGATTTTGTTTCCACATCTTGAAACTCCAACTTACCTWCGTATATCACTTATTTATATCTATTCCTATTCTATACCAAAAGAAACATAGTTTAGCGGTAATTGACATATATCTTCAACCAAAAGATATTGTAATTTTGATATTCATCCCACATATTGTACTAAAAAAATCAGTGAAGATGTCTATTATTGATAACCTAGTGGTAGAATTTTAAAGAATGGGAGAAATTTTGTGTGATTTTTTTTCYTACTATATTTGTTTTTGTGTGAATTAATTAATTAGACTTGAAAGTCGGGAAAACTAAAATGGGAAGTAAAAGAAGTTTTGTATAAAAGTTTGTTTTTKCCGTTGTAATGAGATGACGATKGACGACAAACAAAACAAAACAGTTTTCGTTTTTACTTTTATTTTCCTTTGCCATTTTTGGAGGACGAAAAACCACCCACGGATTTACAAAATTTAATTCAATTCACAAGGGCAAGTTAGGTGATTCACCTAACCTAATACCATCCCATTTTTCTTTCTTTATTTTTGACATTTTTTGCCTTTGTCTTTTCCTCGAGGATTTCGAATATTTCTCCCATTCATTTCTGGTTTTTGGTTCCCRCCGTTTCGCTCCCAATTCAATCCGTTCCTTCTGGAAAAAAAAGAAAAACAATTGATGATTATTAGTATATTACAGTCTTAATTGTTCCTTTATAATTAATTAGGTCTATTCTATTTTTTATTTTCGTAGCTTTTTTAGTACAAATAATTTAATTATTTGAACCAATGATATAATGCTGTATTTGTCAACAATGTCTATTGGAGAGAGTGAAA